ACAACTTTCCAATACAGAGCATTGGTGTGACCTGAAGTTACAGGTTAATCTAAGCCCCAACTTAATGAAGATCTGTTACCATAACGCAAGCCTATTTTTCAAACTTTTGTTGTCTATGGGATTTGAACCCTAGACCTGCTACTTGGAGAGAGTGACAACTTGACCACTTCACTAAGCTGCCACACCTTGGTTTACAACTAGTTACTAAATAAATTTCTTTAATATTAAATAACTTTTGATCTACTAGTCTATTTTAAATAAATTAACTACCAAAATATTTGTCTCAGTGAGATGACTTTAACAAGTCCAAAATTGCTAAATTACAATCACAGAATTTCAAGATCGATAAAAATTTGTATTGTTAGACAATTATTTAATCAAATTAGTTTTTATATATAAAACCAATTTGATTAAATAATTGTTTAACAATATAAATTTTTATCAATCTTGGGATTCCATAATTGTAATTTAGTAATTTTGGGCTTGTTAGAATAATCTTACTGAGACAAACATTTTAGTAGTTAATTTATCCAAAAAAGATCAGTAGATTAAAAGTTATTCAATATTAAAGAAATTTACTTAGTAATTCTAAAATCATTATTAAAATTATACAAATTTTGAACAATCTTAAGACTTTGTAATTAGATTTTAATGTTAACAATTTTGGGCTTGTTAGAATCGTTTCATTGAAACAAGTATTTTGGTAGTTAAATTATACAAAACAGATTAGTAGATCAAAAGTTATCATCAATTCCAGAAATTGAAGCAAATATATTTATTTTTTTTATATATTATTTCTGGTTAGATATTATTGGCATGGGAGTCTATTTTATACTAAAGTATTAAACTTAAATTAATTAATTAAATTAAACAGTGCAGTATATATAAGCATTACTAACATATTTAAATATCATCAAATAATGTATACGTTCATACTGGACCTAGACTAGTTAAGGCTTTAATGTCTTTAATTTAGTAAATTGCTTGCTTCTTGAGCTTTTTTATATAATTTTTTTTTTTATATTTTTATATAATTATGCAAGTTTTATATATATGAAGTATATCTTATTTTCACCTTTAACAATACTGTCTTAGCCCAATGCTAAATATTCACCAAATTTTTTTATTTCATCTTTAACAACACTATCACTCATTCAATTATTTGTAACACTTCTAAATCTAACGACACATTATACATATCATCACTAATAGTTTAAATATTTTTCATAGTTTTGAGTAGCTTGAAAAAGTAATTATAAAGGATTAATAGAGCTTGTTCTTAGTAATCTAAATCTATAACAAATCCAATTTTTAATCCTATCATATATATTGTCTTTAATTTTTTTTTTTCTTTGATAACCTTGTACTAATTTATTAAAATATTTGTAATTTACAAAATTAACTATTTAATTTATATATTAGGCCAATACCTGGCTGCTAAAAGTGCCTAAATATAGTTATTGTACTAATATTTGCCAACTGGTTTCATATATATTGCTATCTATATTTAAAAACCTGTTATAGTATAATATCCAGCTATCTAAAAAACTATTTATATAATATAAAAAACCTACTACAAACTAATTTTACTTTGACCACCAACTAGGTGGATAATATAAAAAACCTACTACAAACTAATTTTACTTTGACTACCAACTAGATGAATAATATAAAAAATCTACTACAAACTAATTTTACTTTGACCACCAACTAGATGAAAAAGAGTTTGAAATTTGTAACCAAATTATTTCTTTTACCAGATTATATACCTCAACTATCTTTTCTTTGAAGTTTACTAAGCATGATCTTCTCTTCTCTTTTTTTTTTACTACACCTAATTTCTCTAAACACTTTTTTCTCTTTTTACTTAAACGGTTTTTTATTAATTGGTTTTTTACTAGTCGAACCTTTGTTGGCCTATTTTCTAATACTAAGTTTTCTGCTCTTGGATTTTTTTCTAGCACTTCAAACATTTCTCTAGATCTTTTCTCTTTTTTAATCATCTTGCTTATACTATTATCTTTTTCTTATACTGTGAATTTTTCATATCTTTCTCTTCAGATTATTCTATAAAAGCATTCTTGTATAACATAACAGAATGCTTTGTAGTATTGCCAACTTGAACCAGATCTCTTGTTCATTTTTTAAAGCTTTGTAAAATCAACTTGACAAACCAAACTCTGCATAAGCATCTTCCTTTTTTTCAAGTATATTTCTTATGAGTTGCCAAGTACTACATTTTTAAAATCTCTCAAAGTATACTCGAATCTTGTTTTTTTTTTGAGTATGGCTTATGCTAATACTAAAGCTTGCTTTTTTATTTTTAATCAAATATTTTCATAGGCTTTGCAATTAAAAAAATAGTTCAAATCCTCTATTTTGTTCTCTTTACATATTACACAATTAGCTAAGAGATATACCTGTGGGCTACACTAATGTAATTTATCTAGTATTGGAAGTATTTAAAAAAGACTTTTAATTCACTTGACAAGCTTATTACTAATCACTAGTAATTTATATTTCTGGTCTCTAAGCTCCATTAATCTCTTCTAATATAAGGCCCAAGATAGGTTACTCTCAAGTTCTGTCTTTTAAAAAGGCTCACAGCTTTTCAATAAATCTATTTGCTCTTACAAACCTTCTTTTAACTTTTAGTATAAAACTTCATAGAGGATATTCAATATATTTATCTTGCCAAAATATTTCAAAACTCCATTGGAAGCAAAAACTACTTAGCTATTTCTATGTATTATCAAGATAAGCACTCTCTTTTGCTATACAATATGCTATTTCATTTCACTTTATATCTGCATATGCTTTAACCTTTACTAACTCAAGATTAAGTGACTTGAATTGGACTACTTCTACAATCTTGTCAAGTATTGCTTTATTTTTCTTTTAAGTCTTTTATTAAAGTTCTTTTCATCTTTTATTGCTATAATTGTGGCTACACTATTAGTTTTAACTTGCATACTGGAGTTTAAAGTTGCTGTTAAAAGTGTATATAATATTGCTAGAAGCTCTGGTCTTGTAAATGATAGCTAATTACTAATTCTGGCTCTGCCTTTAAATATCATATCTTTCTCGTCTTCTGTAACCTGGACCTAGCCTACTTCTATTTTATTTTCATTAATCTTGTTAAACTTATTTAGAATCTATGAACTATCTGTATAAAAAATGTTTTCTTTTCTCTTATGCTCCAGATTAACACTTAGCCTGTGTGACAATAAAGCTTTAATATTAGCTAGTAGCCCCAAATTCTCTATATACTCTAGGTTTTTATTTTTTACCATCTTCATACTTTCCAATATCCATTCTGGTGTACTTCTTTTTATAATAAAGGAGCTATATATTTCTGTTGAAATTCTAAGATATAAACCCTCCTTATCTTTTGATATATACTCTATTTTACCAAGTATTTGATCTAAATTTATACTAAATCTACAACTGCCTTCAATCTCTATGTTGTTATAATCACAACTCCCACATTGTACTAGCAAGACACCTCTTTTCTTAGTTGAATCTCCCTTTAACTAGTGTTCAGCTAATACCTCACTTTATCTCTTTTCTTGAACCCAATTGATTTCAAGCTGGCCTGTTTCTTTTTTGTAGTATAGGATCCACTCTTTTTGTTTTTTATCCTAACTAATCTTTGGTAGGCTAGGCAAAATAGCTTCTTTGTTTCTTTCTTGCAAGTGAAACTGGGCCTTTACTTTACGTCCTTTTTTACTTTTGAGCACCAAACTTTTGATTGATTTGTATCAGAGTGGGGTTATGCCACTACAACTACAATTTTTACTTGCTGCCATATCAACAAGTTTTCACCCTTTACATCTAGTATCTGATTAATGAAGTAAATCCCCAAACTTGCTTGCTGTTTTCTAATTTTTTTTACTGTAAAAGATTTAAAATGCTTGTGATTGTTGTTCCCAAACCACATATACTCTAGCATTTTTCTTCTGTACCAAAAAATATATCTATTCTTTTGCATTATTTTATCATTTTGAGTGTGATATTGTCTTTGCAGTTAAAATTTGCTTCAAATAAAGTCCTTTTAAGCATTATATACTATATCTTTTTCTAAAATTTCTTGTCTAATTCTTATTTTGGTAATGTTTTCTATTATACCAGTACTATTCAGTCTTTTAAAAAAAGCTGTCGTCTGTTTTGCTAATACTGCATTTGCAAATAGTTTGGTTTCTAATATACTCTATGTGCTAGAATACTATTTGGTACTGTTTGTACTATTTCTAACTTTTTCTTTATTAACTATATGAATTGTATTTAATTTGCTTTCTGTTAATACCACAGTTTGTAGAATATACTCTAACTTGAGAATTAGGATCTGGTTGTTTATATATACTAACTGGCTCGCCGTAGATCTTTTCTTTTCTAATTTACAAATAAACAGATCTACAATTTGTTTTATTTTCTTTTTGATCTTTGCTATCCCTTTCTTAGTATAAAGGAAGGTTTCAAGAAACCATAGTTCATACAGTTTCTTGTTTGCTTTAACCAGTGTATTACCATATTTTATTTGTCTATCAACTATTGAAAGCTTTGAGTTTAACACTATTAACTTTGATTTGTTGTTATTAATTTTTATACCATTTAGCTAAAAAAATTAATCTGCTACTTGAATTGTTTGCTTCAGTTGATTCTTTGAACTTGCAATCCATATAGTGTTATCAGTATATGTAAGAACCACTTGTTTGATACTTTTTAGTTTTTTAATTTTTAACAGATCTTCTATTTGCGCTAATACTTTTATTCTATAATCCAAACTTTCATTTTTCAGTATTTTATCTAACAAAGGATCATAAAAGATTCTCCAAAAGAGGGAAAAGATAGCTTTGCCTTGATCTATGCCTTCTTCTGCTCTGACTTCTTGTGTTAAACCATACACTGTTATGACTTTTAGCCTTCTATTTTTAAATAGATTATAAATTAGTTTGCAGCATATGTCTGGAATTTTGCTTCTTTTTAGAGCTTTTTGCAACATGGTAAAACAAAACCACAATTCTTGCTGATTTTCTTCTGCCTCTTTAAATAAAGCCTTGAGGATATGTACTAGCTCTTCTGTAGAGTTTTCTAATAACTCTGCAAAATTGAAGCCTTGGAAAATTTCCTTTTCTTTAATAATTTTGCTTAATTTTTTCGTTAAAATTTTTGTAACACCTTTTCTAAAAACTTCACTAGGGCAATTGGTCTAACCTTATCCAAATTATACTCCTAGTTTTGCCCCTTTGGAATTGGATACACTTGAGCTGTTTTCCATTTACTTGGAACATTACCAACTCGTAAATACATTTCTGCAAAATTTTTAAAAACTTGCTATATTTTTGTATTTGTCTGCTTAAAAAGTGCATATATGATTGTTGATATTTCTGGTGCTAAATTCACCTTACTTTCACTTAATATTAACTGCCACTCATCTAATATGATCAGTCGCAAAACTGGGTCATATCAAGCTTCTAGAATACAATCTTTTGGTTGGTATTCTTCAGACTATAAACTCTCTATCTCAGTACTATCGTTTTTTCTATTTATAAACTGGTTCTGGAAATATAATCAAACTTCTTCTAAAACTTCAACTGAGCTAGTTAAAAGATTCATTAACTCCTTGTTTTGCATATGTACTCTATCTAAAACTACTTTATAGTAGGGTCACTCTAACAGGCTAGCTAGTATTTTTTTTTGCTCTTTTACAATTTGCTTAGCTTTTGTTTGAATATATTGTTATTTTCTTTTTTTTTAACCTTTTTACTATTTACTACTAGCTTATCCTCAATTACTTTTCACCAGATTATTGCATCTTCTTGCTATTCTGACAACTTTTATACCTTGATTTTTTTTAATACTACTATCTGCCTATATATTAACTTGCTTAATTCTTTTATTCTATTGATATAACTTTTCATAGAGCTTTTCTTCACTTGTTGATCTCATTTCTATAATTATTTTGCCTAATATAAAAGCTGCTTTAAAGAACATGTTTTTTTTCCTCTTGGGATTAGGCTTTTTTTCAAAATTTATTATCTTATTTGGCAAATTTTTTAAACCTGCTTTAAGAATTGCTTTTTCTATTAAAAACCACATTTGGTTCAAGTTTGCTTTTATTTGGTCTAGGAATTTTGCATCTGTAGCTAGTGTGTCTTTTTTTAGTGCAGATAGCATTCTATTGTTCAAACCTTTCTATAAATCTTTATGGTAGTCATTCCAGTTCTCGTTTATAGCCTTTTTGAATTTTCAAACTCTTTGTTTAGTACTGGGTACTGCTTCTCTTGTTTGATTATTTGATGAGGTATCTGGGCTCTATTCACATTTTATAAATATGAGATCATGATCGCTTCCTGTTACTATTAACATATTACAAATTTCTGCCTCTTGCAACATATCTATCATATTACTTGATGACCAAATTTGATCTATTCTTGTTGCTACTAAACTATTGCTCTAAGTAAACTTCTTTTTGTGTAGTTTAAAAAATTTAAAAGTGTTTAAGAAAACTCTTTTCTTTGAACTAAGCATGCATTGCCACGATTTGATTTGATTTGATTTGATCAAATATTTGATTTCAAATCAAATTCAAATACAGAAATTTCAAATCAAGTCAAATTCAAATTGACAAAATATTCAATTTGATTTGAAAATACTTAATAAAAATTACAAATAAATTTGATTTAATTTAATTAAATTCAAATATGTAAATATTTGATTTGATTTGATTTGGCTTTGAGAAACCCTAATTGCTAGTCTTTTATTATTATCAATTTGCAATGATTTGTCTAACACTGAGTCGACTATATAGTTAAAGTCTCCTAGTACTACTATTAATATATTATCTTGTGCTTTATCTATTTTACTTTAAACTATAGCTATATTCTAATTATAATTTGAAAAGATATTTAAAAAAATTAATAAAGCTTGCTTTTTAGTATTTTAAATCTGTAATGAGGCCAGTTTTTAACTTCATCACACATATTACTATTAATAGACTAGCTAAAAACTCATACAATAATACACAGGAATAAATATATAATCTAGAATATATATATATAATCTAGAATAAATATATATAATCTATATATAATTTAGAATAAATATATATAATTTAAAGTAAATATATATAATCTAAAATAAACATATAAAATTTAGAATAAATATATAATATTGAATAAATATACAATATATAATTTTGATAAATATAGTATATAATTTAGTATAAATAATATTATTTAAAAAGAGATAATTTATATATCGCCAAAGTGATATTATCACACCCTTTGATTATGTAATCACGTGCATATGAAACATGATTGTCAATTAATAGTAAATGATAGTTTGCGGTAGTTAATAAATGAATGTCATACAAATTATATAATACCAGAATTAATATAAAGGATATACAGTAAAAAAAAAATGTTCTTTTTCCATTAGCAAGAGAAAAATACTTACAGTGTTACTCATTAAAAGAGAATCTTTAAAGTTACTATATTTGCATTGCAATCATATCTCAGTAAAATATCAACGTACCTTCAAGTTAGGGTGTATAACACGTACATATATACATACTGTGAAAACCCTGTAACACCTTGTTACACGCATCAAAAAATGAAAATTAACCACTTTCGTAATATGTATATATGAATTTTGGTTTGGGCCTTGATCCAAAAAGACTATTCCGAACTAAAATTTGGATCGAAGAATTAGGCCATTAGGATTATTATTATTATTATTATTTTTCGAAACAATAGATAACCATGTTTTTTTTTTACAGAGAACAATTACACTTGGAGTCAAAATGAAGAAATTAATCATTTAGAGTCGGAATAGTCAGAATACTCAGAATACTTTAAAAATATTTCACCTATAAGCACTGCTTCGGATTTGGGTTTGAAGGTCAAAATTAGATATTATGAACTATTTTAGATTATTTAAAGCCCATTCTACCTACTTTTAGGTTTTATTTTGGATTCGAAATTGGAAATTTTTAAACCTACTGAAAATTCTTTAATTCAATTGGCAGAATTGATGAGACCAAATAGGTTTGAAATTTCAGATCAAGATATATTCAGTTTTTTAATTATTTTGGATTTGGAATTGGAAAATTTTGAACCTATTGAAAATTTTTTAATTTAATCAGCAGAATTGATGGAACTAGATGAGTCTGAAATTTCAGATCAAGGTATATTCAGTTTTTCGATTGCCTTTTTCCTAAATTTTGCTTTTGAATTAAAACTAGGGGCTGATATACTATATATATTTGTTAATAGAACTAGATGAATTTGAACCATTGAATCAAAGTAGGTTTTGGTTTAAATTCGGAATTTGATAGTTTCAAGGCTAAAAAAAAATTGAGGTTATTAAGTTAAGCTACTTTTTTAATAGGTCCTTTAATTGTGTCAGAATTAGAAAATCTTGATTCTACAGAACTTCTCTTGTTAACTGAACCAGTAGAATTAGTTACTGGATCATATTTTCCTTCTTGGTTAATTGCTGAACACTATGTTAAGGAGCATGGTCGGCAAAGAGGATTTGCTATCAATCGCTATAGAGTTAGTTATTACAAAAACTCTAATTCATCTAATCAAATTATGAAAAAAAGAACACTTTCTTGTAAGCATGCTGGAATCCATAAGCCTAAGAAAACAAAACTATTGGATCAGCAATATAATAAAGAGTTAAAAAAAACGAATTGCAAGTGGTATGTTAATTTATCTAAGCCTAACAATAGCAGTTTTGTACATGTAACTTGTGTACAATTAGAACATAACCATGAATTGTTGGTTGATAATGCAAAATTCGCTACAAGATTCAGAAAATTTGATCAGCCAATATTAGCAGAAATTGAGCATGCAGTGGTATATGAACGATATGATATATACACTATAAGAAACTTATTACAACCACTGTTTCTCGATCAGCTTTTTCTAACTCAGAATCTTTCTAATGCTATTCAGAAAATCAAATATGATAGACAAATTACAGGATCTGATGCATCTCAATTGTTAAAATTTTTACTTAATCAACAAAAAGAGGAGCTATTGATATTTGTACAGCCATTAATAAACACAAATAGTGATAGATTATGTTGCATATTTTGGATGACTGCAAATCAAATTGAGCTATGATCATATTATTTAAATATTATACTTCATGACAATACTTCTCGAACTAACAAATATAATTATTCATTGTCGCTGTTTATAATTGTTGATAATAATGGAAAGTCACGCTTAGGTGCTCAGGCTTTTTTAAATGACGAAAGTCAGAAAAGTTATGAATGGATCTTACAACAAACATTGGATACTACAGGTTGTGAACCGAAAGGTATATTGACTGATATGGATCTAGCAATAGAAGCTGTGTGTAAGGTAGTTTACAAAAATACTTATCATGTGCATTGCATATAGCACATGTCTCAAAATTTACCAAAACGACTTAAAGCCAAGCTCAGAACTGCAAATTTCAAGCAATTTATTTGTGACTTTTGGAAAATGCATAATGCATTATGTGTAGATGTTTTTGAGCAACAATTTCAAGCCCTATTGAAAACTTACTCTAGTATTAATAGATATTTACAAGATCCACTTTATTCAACACGGTATTCTTGGGCTTGTGCATATATAAGCCATATTTTTACAGCTGGTATGTAGTCAACACAACGTGTTAAATCAATTAATGCAATTATACACAAAGCTGTTTTTTTTAGTTCAACTATGTCAGATGTAGTTAAAGCTTTGGATTCCCGAATACAAAAAGAGTTAGCAAATAAAGATTTTTTAGCATGGAAATAAAAATCAACAACATATTATCAGCCATTTGTCGTGAATAATTTTTTAGTAAAATTAATACAACAATAAAAAAATATTTTTCAACATAAATTATTGCAGAAATTCACAAACAAATGTGTGAATCAGTGCTGTATAAGTGCAAGAAGTTACTTGTTGAAGAAGCTTTTAAATTTACTGATGATTAGTTAGTAAGTACTAATTGGTAGTTATGAAATTAGTTAGCTAAGATTAATATTTCTGTTTTATTTTAGGATCAAAATGAATCCTATGAAAATCTGATCACAACTGATAATTCAGAAGACATCAAGGATATTGAAGACTACTACAATTATCAGCAAATATATTTAAAATCACCATTAAATTCAGTTGAGAGAAATTCAGTTAAAGAAATATGGCAAATTGTTCCTTATATGATACCAAGTTCATATCAGCATATTATAATTCTTAACGATGGAACTCACTTATATACATGTTTATTATTAGTTTCTAATAAGATTGTTTGTTACTATTATTTCAAGTTAATGATTAAAAGTCAAAATGCTTTGTTTCACCCATTGCAAATGCCAACAAGATGGCTCAGAGATGAAGTCTGGACTTCTGTTGATTTTATTTTTAAAGAACTATTTATTGAAACGTCATCGAAAAATTTGAACCAAGATATCTTTCAGCAAACTAATTTACTTCTAGACATTATAATAATGTTCAAGAAGTTCAGACTCGTCAACATTTACAAAAAAAAATAGAATATAGCCGACTTATAGGGCATTTTAAAAAGCTTTAAGCTATTTACAGAAAGATAATGATCAGAGTGGTTTAGATGACATTATATTAGCGTATATTTCTGAAAAAGTGGCAAAGCTAAATAATAAGATACAATTAGAAAGAGAGAATGTCTTTAATAAAGATATAAATTCAAATAATATAATAAAATTGCCAGATAGTCACGTTTACAATGTGGATGATATTAAAGATTTAACAAAATATAAGGTAAAGATAGGCCTGCTGATAAACAAATTGAGGCTTATAATGAGAAGGTAAAAAGTAGTAATGTTGTTCAAAAAGAAATTATTTATGAAGAACTTGAGAATGCAGTAAGTAGTAGTAGTGATAATACTAGTGGATATAAATGTAGATTATACAATAAGACTGGGCATTATGCACCTAGATGTCCTAGTAAGAAAGATTAATAATATTTGATAAGTGAAATAGTTTGTATGTAGTAACTGGTATTTAGATACACATTGCATGAATATGTAATTCATGAATTATTGATATTGATACTGATTTATTGGAGCTAGATAGAGAAACTAATTTTTGCAATTTAAGCATTTAGAACATTATATATGAAGAATGAATTTTAGTTCATGTCGTTTAATGACAAATTGCTGCTAAAAAAAATCCGTAAATCCAACTTGGGTGTCATTATAGTTGAAAACAATTTTTACAGAGATAACTTTGAATTATATTTATCAGATTCCTTTGGCGGCACTCATATTAATACATATTACTAACATATCTTTGCATTTTTATTGCTATTTTATATTGGTTATATGTCAAATTAAACTATTGCATCAGGTCAAAAGTTATATACTGAGTTTCATTAAGGTTAGGGTTAGGATAAATATTACGTTAGAGTTAGGTTTTGTTAAAGTTAGGGTCAGGGTAAATACTACATTAAAAGGGAGTTAAAGTTAGATTTCGTTAAGGTTAGGGTAAGGGTAAATACTACATTAAAAGTGAGTTAGAGTTAAAAGGGAGTTAGAGTTAGGTTTCATTAAGGTTAGAGTTAGAGTTGAGTAGGTTTTTATAGTAGATGTTAGTGGTATTCTATTTATTTTTGACCTGACGCAAATTTAATTTGATATACAACTTATTTATAAAGTACTAATTACATTATCTATTGCAAAGAAACAGTAGTTCTATCTATAGGTAATATGTTCTTCTACATAGTATATATAAAAGTTTATTAGAATCAATTATTGTATGTATATACTTCTGTATATTCATAATGTAACGCTATATTGTATAATATAATTGTTATACATTATGTAATTTGTGTGATACAATACAGTGTTATACAATTAAACAATTCGGTAATAAATTTCGCATCATGCAATAAATAAATTTTTTCATATATTAATATAATAAATAATGATCTATATTAAGAAAAAAATGTATTTTTGCTTCTATATATTATATAAAATTTTATTACAAGTTATATATAGTAGATAAAAAATATAATATATAGGTAAATAAATTATTAATTATTTTTTTAATAATAATTAAACTTCATATACTAACTACTCTAATTTTTAATTATTAGTAATTAAATATAAAAATACTGTATAATATATAGTCAAAAATTAAGACTAAGTATTATAAACTTTTAGTAAAATTATAGTAAGAATCGCTTTAATTAATATCACAGCTGATGCTGAAAATGGCTGATGATGAAATTTTGATTATTTTATTATTAAATTTTTGTAATTTTTGGGGGTGCATTTTTTTAGTCTTCATATAATAGTTTGAGTAGAGTTTAGGGCCAGAGTTTATTAATTAAAGTGTATAGATAGGTTTTAGTAAGTCTTATAGTTCTAAATAGAGACCCCAAAATTTCATCATTAGCTATTTTCAGCATCAGCTGTGATAATTAATTATAATAATTATGCATTATCATAGTAGCTAGCTAATTATACAAGTTGAATCAATAAATATTAGTATATAACTAGAGACAAATTTTCTGATATATATCTGTTAATCTGCTATAGATTCACCAAATATCTGCTAAATAACAGCAGTATATTTGTAAGATATCAGGATATTGATTGATATCAGTAACATAATAGCAAAATATTGTGAGACCCTGATATCTTACTCTTAGCACTCTGGGTTTAAAAGTAAGATATCAGAGTATTTCAATATTCTGCTGTTATGTTGCTAATATTTAATCTATCTTCTAATATCTTACTACTATTATACCAACATGCTGCTGATATTCAGCAGGTATTTGGTTGATTTATTGCATAGTAATAGGTGTATATCGGAAAAGTGTTCTTACAGTATTATTGATTTTTGCTTAAACAGTCAAATTAACTCTACAGACTAAATTATTCTTGTAGCTTGTTATTATTTTGCTAAAATATTAATTGTTATGATGAAATTAAATTACTTCATTTTAGTTATAATTATTGTTATTTTAAATATTTACTTGACAACTGTCTCGACTGTTCTTTTACAGAAAAGGTAATTAATTTGATTTATAATAATTTATTTTTATAAACATAAAATTTTGAAATTAATAGATTTTATTTATAATGTATTTTATTGAATTATTAGATAGTAAGCATAAATTTAGTCTAATTGCTTCCTAATATAAGTATAAGCTTTATTATATTTATTTTTAAAATAATTAACAATTTTTTAAATTGTTTTTGCAAAATAGCAGATAAGTATAAGCTTTATTATACATTGTTTTTAATTTTTTTTGATTTTAATTTATACTAGTTATCCCTTAAGTTGTAGAGTTCGTGTAACAATTTTAGCTTAAAAATAGCATAAATTTAGTTATGATCTATTTTTTT